AACTGGGGATGTTTAAGCACTATGAAGCTACAAGCAAAAAAGAATATTCAGTATTACAAAGCATGATCTGGATGTGAAGCCTAGTGAGGACAGAGGAAGACATAATATGTTGAGTAAAGAGTGGGTTACTTTTTGGTTTTGGTTTTGTGTTGGTTTTGCTTTCCTTTTTTTTTGTTTATTGGGGATTTTTTTTTCTTTTTAATCTAAGCAAGTTGGCATTGAAGAGGGGAAAGAAAATAATTTCCCCTTCTGATACCTCCAGCTACAGGCTGTGGCCTTGCCTCTCACTAAACTGGCAAAGGTGAATGATGCTGAGCTCTTAGTAGTAGTAATTTTCAGGTTTCTTAGCTACAAGTGGAGAATTTTTACATGAAAGAAGTGAGGTGAACTGTAGTAAAGGTTCAGCTCCCCTGGTGGGATGTGCAAAGTGAGGAAAATTCATCCAAATCCTACTAAAAACTGCCTAACTGCAAGAATGGGGAATGTCCATCAGTATCAGCTCTGCTGGTACTTTCTCCCCACCTGCTCATCACCATCTAGTCTTTCATTTTATCCTAGCAAGGCAGAAACCATGCTGGTTCTGTCAGTTATTGATAGGCATCATGTATTTTCAGTTCACAAAACAATAGGTTGGATGATCTCTGGTTTGCTTTCACTGTGGTTGCTGGTGAGCAAGCACCTTCTCTGGACACATAAGCATGCTGTTATACTTCTCCTGCAAGGTGAGTGAGTGAAAGAACCTTCAGAGATTCCCAAGGTTTATCCTCTCTCTGATTTTGGTAAGGATTTGGCACAGCTCACAAGAACCCTTTTGTCTCAGAGGCTGAGGGCTTTAAAAATACACAAAGATCAGCTCATATTTTTTGTTGCGTTTGAGCTTATCTCATTTAGTAGAACTTTATTTTTTCATATAAGGATAAAGGCACTGAGTTTGCCTAAGGTCCACTAGCGCAGTGTCTTCTTTTGAAGTAGAGCATATCAGATCATCTTTTGAGTTTCAGGACGTGGAAATTTAAGGTGAAGTCTTTTTTTCATACAAAGTTGAGCTAGAATTTCAGTGCTTTTAAGCTGTTTCCAGTATAACAGACTCAGCTATGACTGCTGATTCAGCTGCTCGCTTGCCATGACTCAGTTTACAAAAATAACGCCCCAAAACTCTGAAGTTCATGCTCTGAAAGACAAATGAGTACAGCAATTAAAATAATTTTAAAGTGTAAGTTCTGTTCAACAGCCTTGGTTGGTGCTCCATAGTGTATTCTGATTTGGGAGGTTGCTCATTTGTTGTCAGGCTGTAGACCTTTTGATGCAAAATTGTGATGCTGGTTTGGCTTTGAAAGAATGTTCCTATCCTGTCTTGTTAAGTTCTGTTTTTTCCTGTTACCTGTTTTAGTGTGTTCATGCAAATTGGTGAAACCCCCTGCTGATTACAAATGTCAAAACCTCAGTTAAATTGGGCAAGCAAATTAAAAAGAGGTAGGGGTTTAGTCTTCAAACCTTCATGATTCAGGACAATCACCCATTGACTGAGAAATGTCTGGAAGAAATTGCTCAAAAACAAAGACTTGTGTTTAGAGTAATGCATTATGAGGTTGTTTTCATCTTCTGTGGAAGGAGATTAAACTTTCTGGACTGTGGGTAAATGAGAGTGCATGGTTCTTGATGTCTTGAGACAAAGCAAGGAATCTAGCAAGTAATACATAGATTTTTGTTTCTGTAATACTATCTAATTGTAGTACTTTTCATCTGCAAAATGCCTTGTTTTACAAAGGCAGAGTTTTGATTTCTATGTGGCAAATGCAAGACTCAGATTGACCAACATCCCTTGCAAAGCTAAAGGTCGAACCTCAACAGATTTTGTTTGTTTGTTTTCAGGGAGAAGTAAAGCACTAGGGTACTACAGTCCAGTTAGGATATATTAACTCAGATTGAGAGGTACTGATATGGCTAGGTTACTTCTGCCTGGTTGAAGTCTGCACCACCATGATAAGGAAGCCAGTGCAGACAGCTGAGGGCATTTAGTAAGATGGTATTGATAAAACATTTTTTTTTTTTTAAACAGGACCATTATCTGCACAAGTACAGCTGCTGCCAATTACATTCTGCCCCCGTCCACCACAGTCTGTCTGCGTGGGGCTCTGCATTTGCAGTCACAGAGGAGAAACTGACTTTCATTCAAATGTCACGTCTGGCTGCTCAGTCTGTGCGAGGTCTCGCCTGCCGGGTCCTCAGCCGCTGCTCTTGTTGGAGTGCACTCACACCTCGCGCCGTTCCCTGACCAGGCTGCTGGGGCTTTTCTTGTGAAGGATCCCACTGATTTTTTTTTTAATTTAAATTTAATTTTTTTTTAAATTTCTTTTTTTAACTGTGTTTCATTTTGTTTTTGCAAAAGCGGTAACTTTGTGGAATCTTGTGCCTCATGTCTAGAAAACCTGGCAGATTTTTTAGATGTCCCTAAAATTAACATTGATCCTAGCTGCCTATTTGCTCCGTTGTTGGGCAGTATCAGCTCTTCCACAGCTATCTCTGTACAATTAGGTGACAATTATAGAGGGTTTTTTCACATTTTTCTAGGAACCTAGAAGCCTCCATGTACCCACTGAATTATGCTGGTATGACAGTTAAAGAATTTGGCATGTGCCCTCCTGAAAATTCAGGTCACATTCAGTTGTATCGTATTATGACTGAAGCCTTCATTGTGAATTTCCTTAGAGAAAAGGTGGGCTTTTTTTCTTCCCCCTGTTTCTGACACTATTAATAGTTGCTCTGCCTCTGTGCACACCCGTTCCTGGAATTAAAAAAAAACCAACATGCAAATTAAAATTCAGCAGAACCTTGTGTATCTAGTACTAACCTTGCTTTCTCAGTCTCTGACGCAAATTGTAAATAGTTATCACTTAAGAATTGACCTTTCACAAATGCTAATATGATGTTTGATTGTTTAAATTTTATTCAGTCTCATGTTGATGGAATCTATAAAATACTGTAGTCTTTTACATTATAGGCAGTAGATTAAAAAAACACAGAAGAAAAATTCATATTTTTGTAAAGTAGTCTTCAGCACTCATCACTTGACTGAAATTTTGCTTCTAATGGTATCTCTTTTCCTAAGTTCTGGTACATTCCTATGGATATGTGTAATAAGCTACTTATTGAACAATGTGGTGGACTTATTCTATTTAAGCTGTTTAAGTGTATTAAATAAGACAAATCCTTGAATTTTTTTTCTACAATTTTTGGTTATGTGAGGGCTTCTGAAATTATTTCCCCCATCAGAATGAAATTATAATAAAAATTCAGAGCAGAATTAATGAAGTACTTTGTTGCAGTAATGTTGACAAATAGGCTTGGCTTACTCTAAAATCATTTCAATGTGAATCTGGAATGAAAATTAAGAGGAAATTTTAGGCTAAAAGATGTTTATCATTAACCAGTGCACCTGCCATCAAAAATTTGCCCTTTCCATGTTTTCTTTGAATCATATAAGTCTTTGAGTTGGAAGGGACCTTTAAAGGTCATCCAGTCAAACTCCCCTGCAAAGAGCAGGGACATCTTCATGGAACTGCCTTGTCGAAAGGAAAACACTCTGCAGTGTCACGACAAGACAGGCATCCCACTGTGAGACCTCTGCGTGCAGAGAACGTGAGCTCAAGCCAGTGAGGAAGTGAATGGAGTGACTCCATGTGACTGTGGAGATGAGGTGGTGGCATGTGAGGTTCATGCAAAAAGCCAGGGCAGCAGCAGGCAGGCACTAACCTTCCCGTGGGAGATTTTGGAGGTTCCCTAATATTTCTGAAGAACGGAAGCACGTAGTGACCTGCATTATGCAAAGATGGGCTGGTAAAGCAGAACGGAGGAGAAAACAGCCGGAATCTTTCCTTTCATAAACCCTTCAGCCCCTTCTCGGTAGGACTGAGGAGTTTTGTGTGACACCTCGTGCTGTGGGTTTCACTGTTCTCGAAAGCATAAACAAGATTCTTGATAGCAAGGGCAGAGCTGTTCTCTGCAGCTTCTCAGTGCTGTTTGTCTGCAGGGCCTGCAGAACATGTCGTTGCTCCCTGCAATCATCCAGACATTTTTTTCCATTCCCAGTGCTTGTGAATGAGAAAGAGGGCATAAGCAACAGCAAAATCCATCCTTTTAATCCTTCTATGCACTTTTTGCAGCTTTCCCACGTACTTTGATAGCAGAAAAGGCAAGTCGCTCACTCAGCCTGCAGTCATGGTCTTTCTTGAGGTCAAATTTCAGTTTACCAGTTATAAGCAAGTACAGAGATGTGTTGTGGTCTTTCCTCACTTTGATTAGGATGTTACTGTGAGCCAGTACTGCTCTCTCTGTTTGTGAGTAATGGTGACAGGTTAAATGCCAGGGAGGGCCCCTCTCTTCCATTGTCCTGCCCAAACTACAGTACTCCTATGGGGGTTCTTTAAGGAGTGCAAAGTTCCTGTGCAAAAGAAACAAATATGCTTTCCCTGCAGACATGTCCACCCATTGTTCCAATTATTGTCCCAGATACAAAAGTCTCTTCCTGAACTTGGCTGCTTGGACCTTCTTGGAAAATGCTGATTGTGTGCTACTAGTCTCTCTTGAGGAGAAGAGTGCCTTTAGTAATGTCAATCTTCATTCAGTCTCTGTTGTCTTACATGTTGCTAGCATCACCAAGAATACTCTTTATGAGCATTTCTTATCTATGGATAAAGATCTGATTCTTTCAGATCAGATTCTTGATTACTTGCCATTGTTGTTTAATTCAAGCAAGCAGAAATCTTGGAATTAAAAAAATTCTTAGTGCCTTAAAAACCAGCACCTTAGTAGTTTTATTTTGCAACACTTGAATTCACAAAGAGCTTGCATTATGCAGTTGCAGAGCTACTTATACTGAATGTGTTCTGTTACTTGTTTTGAAACAAGAAATTAAAACCTAGAGAAACTTCAATCCTTCAAACATGACTTGAAAAACAACAACAAAAAAAAAAGTACAAAAACTAAAGGAGTGTGATCCATTGATCAATCATGTATTTGGGCTACATTAACACGGAGGACTTAATTTTGTTGGCCTGGAACAGATAAAGAGCTTCTTTGTTTTTGAGCTTAATTTCTGTCAGAAGTGTCTTTGACTCAATGACTGTCCCATAAGATGGGATTTTGTTAGTTTTGTGATGGGGGTTGCTGCTGGTTGACTGTGAAAAAGAAAATCATCCTGGGAGCTTCTAACTTGGTGTCTCCTCAGTGGCAGGGCCCACTGCTTTAAGACTGATTTCTCTGTGATTGCCATTGGCACTTGCTGTGTCACAGTAAGATGATTGCAGATACAACCACCACTCCTTCTCCTTTGAATGGTCTTATCGGTTATACAAATGCTACAAATCTCACCACTATTGTATCATTTCCAGTCTCCTCCTTTCATGACTGGAGTAGCAAAGTTGAACTTTCAGTAGGCATTGCCTAAAGTGCTATTTTAATGATTATTTTGATTGATATTATTAAATGGCCCTTGACTTCTAACTGTAAATTAATTATGATGGAGATATCGGCATAACAGGCAGGATGTGATGAAGGTGGTCTCTGGTTGTGTTAAGAGAGAGATGTTGCATAAAACTGCAAATAATTAAGAACTCTTGCAGGAAAATGTGTGATGTAGGTCCCTGCTGGCAGTTTAGAAGTATCCTGGTTACAGAGGGGCACTATGGTGCCTGTGGAATTGTACTCCCCTTCAGAGCAGGTGTGCAGACTGGTGCTGGGACAGTGACAAGCAGTTGCAGTATAGAAGAATTGCAATTCCTCACTGGCTCTCAGACTGAGAGGAGCAGATTGTCTGGGAGCAGGCTGCTGACCATGATGGTGATTCTGCACGATTAAAAGGGGTAAAGCTGTCCTCCAGAGCAAATGTGTAATTCAGCTTTGTGTTTAGGGAGTGACTGTGGTGGCCTAAGCATGCTATGAAAACCAATCAACTTGTTGTTATCTTTTCATCATTATTTGTATTCAATCTAATTAGCTGATTTCCCCCTTCTTCTACCTTTCTGTGGCTGCTTAGCATAGGTGAAGGGAGGATGCAGAGTGGCCTTCTGGAGAGCCTTGATGTAAAAATGTGGCTTTAAGAATGAGTCAGCTTTGTTTCACTCAAATGTCTATCCATTGTCTTTCATGGTTCAGTGAGTTTGTACGTATATTCTCCATTGCTGGAAACTCTTGTTCAGCTGAAATAACACCTTTGTCAAGTGACATTTTGAAAATCCCTACTTTATTTTTGTCTGTATTAATACTATTATCTCGTCCTTTCTCATCAGCAGATTTCAAAACCATCTCTCAAAAGAGGAGTATCATTGTCCACTGCAGCTTGGTGCATGTGGGTGGGGGTTTTGTTCAGGAAAACAGAGGAGGAAGCCACCCATGTTCAATGAGCTCCAGCCTCAGGACCTGATTTCCTGAACCCATCAATTTAACATGAGCTCTTCTTTGCACCCAACGCAGCAAAGCTGCTCAGAGCTCAACTTTCAGCTCAGCTCAGCTGCTCTCCAGCACACGCATTGAGCAGCTGTGAATATTACTGGGAGAACTGCAAGAGGCTATTTGGCACAGAGGAACAAGAGAACATTCACCTGGAGGAGTTCTGGCTGCACCAGGTACCCTCTGCACCAAGGGAAACGTGCACAGGCCATGGGGTACAAAGCTGAGCAGTGACACGAGGCACATTTGAGTTTTGTGTGGGAGAAGGGCTCTGCACTGCCTCTGTTGGTGGCATTGCTGCATGGCTGCTGGGTGCACCCCATTAATTCCACAGCATCCTCCCTCACCACAGAGTTTGCCCAGGCCTGGACCAGCCTGCAATCCATTCCCTGATACCACTCTTTGCCCTGGATGTCTCTTACATCACAGCTGACAAGAGCCTTCAGCTTGCTTGTTCCTTGTTGACCCTCATTTTTGCCAGGGTAGCACAGGCAGCCTTTCCATTAGTCTGGAAATCAAGGACCACTCTTGCTGACTAGACAGATCACAGAGCAGTACAAAGAAAAAAGAAGCTGCAGTGGAAGCTGTCTGGCTTCCAGGGCAGTTCCCAGTGCCTCTGCTGTCAGCATCACCATCTGTGAGGATGATGTGCTCTGCCACCTTGGGATGTTATGATGGCTTCACTGTCATCTGGGAGAATTTGAAGCACCTCATACTTGAAATGTGTCTTCCTTTTCAAAAAAGGTGATGGGTGGCATAACCCACTCTTTCTATCAGTTTTTCCCAAGTGATTTACGTAGTAGATTCTAAGATTTTGAGTATTAAGAATTTATAGTCTTTTTCTTGAAAATAAAGGCTCTGTCTTACTTCAAGTAATGTCTTCCACAACTGTTATTATTATCTGCTTAATGCAGACTCTTGCTTGTCATCCTCAGCAAACAGCAAATGGTAGTGCATTCCCAAAATTATGATGGATAAATGTGTATGTGAGATTTAAAAGTACTGCATTTTATCTTCAGTCTTATATCATGAGAGAGGTCAAATGGAGATGAGCTTCAACTTGTGTCTCTCATTTAGAGTGATGAGCCCAATGGCACTACAATATTTTAACATTTCTTCTTCAGCCCTTTCCTGATGCATTTTAATGCCTCGTTTGCTGTTTGCAGCCTTGGCTGATTGCTGAGCAGGCACTTTATTACTGACAGTGTAAGAAAAGAATTCATCTGGTTTATAGTAAGAAATCTGAATTGTTGTTGTCCAGCAAAAAGACACACCAGAAGTATCTTCAAATATATATTTTTCAACTCTTAATTTGTCTGCCACCACATTACTGATTCTTTGCCTCTTTTAAAATCATTTTTGTGCCAAAATCTAAACACTGCTCTGTGAGTTTCCTTCCTGTTACAGATTTCTGATGAATTAATATCCTGTGAGCGGCTACTGGGGTATCACATTGTTTGCATTTTGCTGTTATCAAATGCAAGGATTCTATGTGTGGTTTCTAAGTTATGACAGACCCATTCTACACAATCTCTGCTTTTACTTTCTTTTGTTTTGCCAGATACCTCTCCAGTGAATGAAAATTGAGTTTTGGGGTTAAGTATTTTTGGAAGAAAGGACATTCATTTTAAAATATATACTTTTAACCAAGATGTTTCAAATTTATTCATGCATGCTGGAAAATAACTTTTTTTAAACACTTTTATTCAAAAATATTCAAAATATTTTCCATTTTAATTAAAATACAGAAGTGCTATCCTTAATTACAATGATAAAGTAATTCAAAATGCTATATATACACCTACATGTAGTCATGTATGTCAACCTGAAAGAAAATGCACCTACAATGAAAAGTAATGGCTTTGCTTTGAGTCTTTGTGCACGTAGAGCATATTTTGTCCTTTTTTCTTAATGACAGGGGATATATCATCCCGCTGAAACAAAACATTTAAATGTAGCAGGTACTGCTAATAGCTGCCTAAGAGTCACAAGTCCTACACAGATCAACTGCAGAATAAAAAAGAATGGTTACAATCAACCTTCTTGAATATATGGATATGTTTTCCAAGTGCATGTGCTGATGGCAAGGTGCTCTCTCACCTCTGCCCCTCCATGCAGGCCAATGTCTTGATGCTGATGAAAAAGGAGCCACACAATGCAGTGCTTTGCACAGAGCTGAGCGGTGATTTGTAATCACAGCAGAGAAACCTTGCATGTCCATCCTCCATCTTCCACATTTGGGACACCTTCTCTCGTAATACTCAGAAAATCTAGAGGCACAAATAAAGCTGAAGTAAGTAATTATCCGGCACTAGCTTATTGTTAAATGTGTCTGCATTTGCTTAGCTTGTCAATGTTCCTGCTTTTCAAAGTCCCTGCTGCTGAGTTCAGTGGCTGGTCTGAAATGTGTTACAGAGCGTCTTGGTCGCCCGTAGATTGTGTGTGAAATGAACTGGTAGATTCAGTGTGGTAAGTGGTGTGAACTCCACACCACTTGCAGAAATACCCTGGTAACTGCCAGTTCTTAAAGAGCATCTTCAGGTACTTCTTAAATTTCTCCCCCATGAAGAAGTAGATGACTGGGTTGAGGCAGCAGTGAAAAAGGCCAAGGATTTCCGTTACCTGGAAAGCATAGTCCAGATTCCTGCTCACTTGACAGTCTTTAATGACTCCCATAAATTCCAGCAGTTGTAAGAAAATAACAATGTTGTAGGGGGTCCAAAAAAAGAAAAACACAATCATGACAACAAAAATCATCTTCACAGCCTTATTCTTTTTGTCATTTCTACAGTGAACTAATGTTTTAATGATCATGGAGTAGCAAAATGTCATAATTATAAAAGGGATTAGGAGCCCTAAAATGTTGACTTCCAAAGTGGAAAAAAGCTTCCATGTTGTGAAATTGCCTGGAAATATCGGCTTGCAGGTAGTAAAATTATGTTCATTAAAAGACTCTCTAAATACAAGCTCAGGGACTGAGGCTGAGAGAGCTACTAGCCACACAACAAGGCTAGTAATCAAGCCATGGAAGGTGGTCCTTGCTTTCAAGGAAAGCACTGCACGAACAATTGCCAGGTATCTGTCTATGCTCATAAGCATAATAAAAAATATCCCACTGTAAAACCCAACCAGGTAGATCCACGAAATGATTTTACACCAGGGAGTTCCAAAAACCCATTCGTCTACTGTGAAATAAGACCAGAACGGCAAGGACAAAACGAAGAGCAAATCTGAGATGGCGAGGTTTAGCAGGTACACATCAGTCATGCTCTTCAGCCTCTTGTATTTGAAGAGGACCACGATGACCAGAACGTTTCCAGCGAGCCCGACCAGGAATACCAGGGAATACAGAACAGGTAGGAAGGAGGCTGCAAACCTCCTGACGCCTTCTTTACTGCATAGTTTTGGAGCATCGTAATAACTGTCGTAATACTCATAAAAGGTTGAGGGTTCAACTTCAAGGGACTCTGTACTTGAAGAACTCATGTTTTTTCCCCCAGTTCTGAGAAGGGAAGAACATAAAAATGTCAGTGACTTTCTGTGTGTCAAGACCACATGATTACTCCACAAACCTGAATCACGAGTGACAGCTCAGGACACGACTCACTGCAGGTTGTCAGATATTATGTAAGCATTATGGGATGGATGCGTGTGCACACTTGAACAAGGTATTGTCCTTAGCATGCATATGCTTAGTCCTTGCAGCACTGTACAACTTGCATGTCAAGCACAAAGGGATGTTCAAATGGATGACAGGAAAGCAAATGGGAGTGAAAGATGTGGGCCACAAGTGTCAATTCAGAGAGGGTTAACTTCCATGTTGAGCAAAGTAAAAAGCAAACTCACTGTTCATAGCAGTTCAGAATTTCACTCACCCACCTTTCCCATCAGGTATATGTCACCCACCATAGGAAGACAGTGATAAACAAGCACCAGACTTTTCTTATGAAATTACCTTTACTGAAAGCTGTCATAAACTTTCAATAAGAGCTTATTTTCAGTGGCTAAATGAGTAACATGAATTTGTCATCTTCATATATATGTTCTTTTCTAATAGGTAGATACAGAGTTTTAAGTGATGTAAGTTGGACACAGGGAAAATATCTTGCTGACTTATGAGCCTGTGTGTTATTCACATCACAGCATCATTCTTTTAGCCAAACATACCAGAAATTTAAGTCTGAGTTCTGTTCTTACTTGCGTGTGTTATTCACTTCACAAGTGGCATTTTTTTAGCCTAACATATCAGAACTCTAAGTCTGTGCTATTTTCTTCCCCTTTGTCTTCATTTTATGAATGGAAAGCAGAAGAGAAGTGGGTTTCTTAGCTTTACTTGTCTTAGCCCTGTGTGTTGCTGCTACATGCCAGCAAACATTGATTGTCATTAAGCTGAGACCTACTGTGTGTGTTCCCAAGCATGACACCTTTCCAGCCTAGAGTTCTGTTCCATTCTACACAGAGAGGAATTTAATCTGATTTATAAGTCACAAGGACAGAACTGTTTGACACCAGTGGTGTAGAAATGACAGCTTTACAGCAACTGCAGCCAGACATACCTGCATTTAATCTAGATTCAGCATAATGCATTTGAATACTTAAAAACATACGCTCACAGAATACACCCCACTTCTGATGATGCAAGAATTCTTAAAACTGCTTAAAAAAATTACCTGAGCAACTACAAAAGGTAAACGAAAAAACATTACATTCACACATATCATGAGTGTACATGATACATAAATGTTTGAACAATTGCATTTTATGAATTTTACCTTTTCTGCTTCTTTCTTCCCAGATGATGTGAAGAATCTTCTTTGCTCTAAGGGCGCAGAATCTCTTGCTCCTCTTCAGGTAGCTCTGCCAGGGAGGTGTTACCCACACAGCAGTATACAGCAGATGTAAAATGCAGATATCACTAGGTAGCTGTGTCTCTTAGCGGAAGCTTTGACTTCCTTAGACTTGTATCACAAGTACTTCTCTCCTCAGTGCTCATCAGAGATAGTCCCTTTAAGTCAGAAATAGAATTAAACACATGTTTAAAAAAACCCACAGTTTCCACTGGGAGACTGAGTATTGAGTTAAAGCATTTTCATCTCATCCAACAATCATTAAAACTGATGTCTCTAAGCATAGATGTCACTCAGCTCTCATTCAACTGAAACTTTGTTCTTTTCTAAATCTCAGAAAAAAAAATGAAAGAATCCTCCGTAGAGAGCAGAGAGGAGGCAGGCGCTTGGTGGGTGTGTGGGAAGTGTGTTTCTAGTCCTTCTCTGAGAGATAACTAATTCTGCAAGTTGTATTATGTAATTGCAGAAGAATTAATCACTATTGCATGATCTTCCTGACTTCTGCTTATCTTACTTCATTAGAAATGAAGGCATGTTAATTCACACTATGTTTTTGCTTGATGTTTTCTGTTGAAGGTTTTATATACAGCACATCTACCTCCTACCACTGCCCAGGACAGAATGGAAGAGTGGTCAGAATACTGAATAAGAAGTAGGATGTGCACACATGCGTGTGGTCTAAGGGCAGAGTGTGCAAAGTGCTGAGGTTTACCAAGGCTCTCTGTCTCAGTAGAAAGCTCAGCAGCTTCTATGAATTTCTTCTGAGAGTAAGATGGACCTTATTTGTCTTTTGGGGGATTCTGAGAAGGGAGAAGAGAGCACAGAGGACATGTGGCAGTCAAGTGGGATGGTTGTGAGTCCTGCCAACAGAACAGCTGTGCTGGCAGCTGGCAGGTGCTGGTCCCCTCTGTTTCCCAGAAAAGGCCAGCCAAGCAAAAGTACAAGCCATTTCTCAACAGGGAAGCCTGCTTTCTTGTGATCAGCAAAAACTGAAAATACACAATGAGAAGCAGAAACAAGAAATCTACAGAAGGTGGTAGTGAGAGTAGGAAGAATCAGACATCTCTGTCCACAAGAGATTATATGTTTTCTTGTTTACTCTCTGGTGTTATTCCAGACACAGGTATAGCTTTTATTCAGTTATGCCATTTGCTGCTATCTCATATGCCTCTGACACTGTTACACTGCCCAATAACTTCTGTTTGGCTGAAAAGCTTGATGTGAATGTGATGTAAAAAGCCTGAAGCATGAGCTGCAGGATCTACTGGTTTCAGGTTTTGCCAGAATAAAACAATTGTGTGGGAAGGACCTTGTCAGTCATCTTTCACAAGCTGTGTCTGTAGATTTTTAAATTGGTCTCTGGAAGATGTTCCTCCTGTACAGGTTATTGCTCTGCAGATCACTTACATTTTTTGTTCAGTTTACTAGCGGTCCTTAGAGGATGTGGACATCAGATAAGCAGACAACAATGTTGTACCCATTTCACCAGCTCACAGAAACCAGAAGCTGTTCCTTTTGCTGTTCTTTTGTCTCTGTAAGGGCCTCCTTAATCTCTTCTTTGACATGTTGTTGTACTAGAGCCACAAGTTCAGCTCTTCAGCCACAATAACTATGACAGAAAATCTTTCTTTGACTACATGCTTTTCAGGAAAAAAAAAAAAACACCCCTTGCTCTTTACAATGCTTTCTTAGTTCTGGCTGTAAATTTTTTCTCCTCAATAAACCACCATGCATCTGCATACTTATCTTGTCCCACTCATTATTTTCAGCTCTATTAAACTGGATATCTTCTTTGAATTTCATCAGTGATGATTTTTCTTGATTTCCAGATGGAGAGGTGAATAGAACTGAATCCAGATATTAAATCTCTTTGACCCTTTAAGATCCCTGTTTGGTTAAGGAATGATTTCCCATCAGCAGGAACATTTTGCAAGAGGTGTTGACCATCATGACCAGTCTTTCAAGACCTATCCTTAGCACACAGGCTGCACTTCAGATATGCTTCTGATCTTTCAGGCATACTGTCAGGGGGGAAAAAGTCTGCAGCCATGTGAATTCCAGTTTGGAATGATCCATATGGCACTAATTTGAAGAAAACACCTACCTGGCACAGTGTTTTTTGCCCAGTCCTTCTTTGGAAGGCTTTTGAGTAGGAAATGCATCTTCCATAATACCAACTCACTTCATGCTAAATTGCCAGATGGAAAGGGCTATCTTCATAAGGAAACTGAGCAAGAATGTTTCTGCAGAAAGAGGAATGTCAGACCAAAAAAAAAAAAAAAGAAGGTTTCAGTTACAGATGCTGAAAATTTATGATGTCTGAACTCCAGAAAATGAAGATGAAAAAATTTGTCTGCCAGTTCATGAAAATCAAGAGGATGTGAATGAATCCTGAAATACCTTCTGATGGCTTACTAATGAACAGAGTTCCTGGGAGAGCCTGCAAGGAGAACTGGAGAGAAAACAGGGGAAAAAAAAGAGAAATCTCTGAGCAAATGAGGCAATGCAGAAAATAGAGGAAAGATCTTGTGAGTGCAGGTTCTGCAATTGCTTGGGGAGAAAGAAGAATGGAAGGGACTGAGTATAGCTGTAGTCTCCAGTACGGGAGCTCTGAGGTCCCTTGTAACACATGGCAGCCTGTCTTTTTCAGATACTTCTTGGGGAACCTGGCAGAGACTGGGAAAAGGAGAATGGCAGGAGATGGCAAGATTATGGTGGAAAAGGGAAAGGGTTCTCAGTGATGTTGCTGTAAAACTAAAGGTTTTGCAGGGGAAGAGAAGACAAGAGCAAGTAATTTTACCTCTTTACTAAATGGTATCAGGATATGTGACACTGACCAAATAAATCACAGGGTGGACCAAACCTGATTGGCCGGACTGGAAGGAGATTAACCCTTTGTATGGGATGGTGGGGGTGGGGCACATGAAGTGCAACAGGAAGGAACATAATAAAAGCAAAATGTGGAACAACCCATACCATTAAAAACTTTGCTTTTCACCAAATTATTATCTCTGCCCCTCCCATCTTTTATGGTAAGTCTTATCATTAATTTGCCATTTTACACGAGGCAGAGGAGTTTTGCCCAAGGAAGAGCTGGAGATAGACATTTGCCTAACCCACTAAGTAGATACTTACCACTGATATGCCAGTGCACCATCCATTCTGTCTGATCTCAGCACTGGCCAGGGATGGATTAATCAGACAAGTCCTCATTTGGAAGAGGCTGGCCAACAAGAGAAGCAGATGACAGTAAATAAAAAGGGACAAGTATTGCAAGAATTAATATTATGATTGATTGCGTGGATCCAGGCTGCCAAAGTCACAGATGGACAAACATTTACCTTTCTCATCAAAGCATTCTCTCCATCCAAGGTAGCCAGCTCCTTTGTGTGTTGTCTGGCCTTGTGGGGTTCTTCTTTTGCAGTTCAGGTGAATTTGGATCACAGTTTGCACATCTGCAGCTCCCATTCTTCCTTGTTAGCAAAGTGTCTGTGCTACCAGTTCATTGTGCAGTTCCTTTCTTTGTAATTTCTTAATGTATTCCAAATTTCCTATAGCAAAACAGAGAGAGAAGTTAAAAAAGGGAAGAGAATAATTTCCTAATTTTAGAGACAACCATTGTTGTTGTTTCTCTCACAATTCACTCACAATTTACTTCAATCTTTTTGAATGCGTGAATTCCCTTTGCTAAGATAGCTGTTTATGCTGACAAAAAATTATTTAAGCCAAAAACCTCTTTTCCTTGTTCAATGCTATTTCCTTGCTGCAATTCCCCTCATTTTTTTTCTTTCAGTGGACCAGTCCTGTGCATTCTACTGTTCCTATCCACTGGTGATTCTGTGAATGGTGTCAGCCATCCTTTTCCTCAGCCTAATTTGCTTTCTTTCTACGTGCTGTGCTTGCAAAGCTGCTATAGACAGAACTCCTCATTTAAAAAAAAAGAGAACTGAAACTTCCCACCTCAAACATGACAGAAATAGACAGTTTGTCTGCTGAATTTTACTTAAAATAAAAATCACTGATGCAAAAAACATCAGGGCGCACCTCTAGGGGTGATGAGTTTGTTCTTCTTAAATGTGAAATGGCACAGCAGGGAGCTTTCTTTGTCATGTTCAGTGATTTGTTAAATGTCAGCAAGCAGTCTCTACAGATAGGTAAGAAGTCTGGGCTGTTTCCACTTTGAGAAGTAGCTGATACCTGAGATTGAATTTTTTTTTTTCTAAATGTCTCAGCCATCACCTAATCATCACTATCAGGTCCTCTTAAAATGAAGTCTTCCTGGAAAAAAAAAAAAAAAAAAAAAGGCAGTGGTGAAAGCAGAAGTGTTCTCAGGCCACTTTTGTGATGAGTCTATATACAGAAGAAGGATGACAATGTGGTGTAAAGGTTTTGTGTTCTGTGTGCTTTGTGCTGGTGCCCCCAAGTCTCAAACACTTCAGCTGCTGGTAGCCTTTAAAAGCTTATTAAATGACTGGCCTCATCTGAAACATCTTCATCTTCTAAGTCTCTCCTGCCATGTTCTTCCCAAGCAGATGTAATATAAAGGAAGCTAGTTAAAAAAATTAAAGTATTTGCAGAGGATCAATAGGGAGAAAGAACTAATACTTGATCTTAATGATTACTAATCTTTCCATGTTTGCTAAGGCCCAGGCACTCTGTTACCCCATGGAAAAGCTGTTTCACTGCAAGGCCTGTTCCAGACAATCTGTACAGCCAAATTATACAATATTCAGTTCACTTTTAGTAGCAGGGGAAACCACTCAGGACACCAAAATAAAACTGTGACAGGCACAGCAAAAGGTTTTCATTGGAGCATTTTTGTCATCTTTGTGATTCACAGGATATTCTGATGTGCCTTGTGAATTGTTGGTGAAACTGCCTGTAGTTAATTTTACATCCACAGACTTTCATTTGCTCACCAGCAAATAAATAAAACCTCAGAGAAATTGATGTTTCTTCCATCAGCACAATGTAATGACTAATTTTTTCTTACTTTTCGTAAACATATTTTTTACATTCTCTACTTGCTCATCCACTTGCTTGCCCTGCTTTAACCATGAATGGCTTTCAGGTCCAATGGAGTTTAATAATGCCACCTTCTGGTGGAAATGCAAAGAAAGCACTGACACTAAAGATGGGCAGAAGGAACAATAGAGTGAGCTCAGGGCAGAGATCCTTCGTGAGCAAGGGATAGAGAGAGGATGTGGTGACTCTGGAAATATTTGGCTCCAGGTGCTCTTAGCTTTGTGCAAAAAGCCATATGCCACTGTCTACAGTTGCACCTTCTGAATCTGACTTGAACTGTAAACCCTGGCCTGAGCATTCTGTATTGCTTTTATTGTTACTTGAATTTTATCCATCCCTTCACTGTAGCCTCCTGAAACTTGAGCTACCTGGAGGATCTGGAGAGCAAGGCTCAGGAATGGGACCAAGAAAAAGGAACTGAACAGGAGACCAAGTGAGGGCGAGCCTTAATGATTCAAATGAGGGCTCCCTTGGGGAAAAAAACCCAACAAAACCAAACCAAAGCAAAACACAAAAACCCCTAAACCCCAAAACCAAAACAACAAACCAAAACACAAAGCAAAACAAAAAACATAAGCAAAAAACCAACCAACAAACCAAAAAAGAAAAAAGAAAAAGCTGATCACGGTATGAGGATACCTGTTTTCTAAGACAGGAGTCCAAGAGGGAGGGTGACTACAATAAAGAAGAGACTCACTGCAGAGGGGCTCTGAAGCCACTTAGGGGTTATGACCTGGTACATTTTAGTCAGCTCTAATACTGCCATTCCCGAAACAGGCAAACCCAGCTTTGAGCCTCCTCAGACACAATCCTTCCAGGACAAAGAAGATGTGAGGTGAAGGTCCTTCATCTGTACAAAAAGACCTAGCAGGATGTCCTTAAGAAGTGCTGAAGAAGCAAATCCTGGGCATGCTTACCCAGCTCCCCATGCCTGGCTGCTCACAGGCCATCAGCACTGCTGGTTCCCATGCTCCAGTGGGGAATGCTCTCAATGCCTTGTGCTCCAGCTATGGCCAAACTGGGATCGATTACCTTGATCTATGTTCCTCAGCAATTGCTGTCTGGGGTGAAATGGGTGGCAAAGGGCTATGGAAAAAGGTGGTTCAACAACCTGCTCCAGATGCATTTCAGATTTACCATTCCCTTCTGGTTCGCTCCTACCTGCTCGGAGACTGGAAAATAATTGAAGCAGCAGCTCAGAGTTTCAAGCAGCTCTTACCTGTAAGGAACCGTCCTGCTCCAGGGCACAGGAGATTGCTCATGGGGACAGTGGCTCGTGTGTGACACCAGGGGGAACTGTCTTGTCACAGGAGCCATCACTGCTCTGCTCAGCTTTGTCGGTGTCCTCCAACGCGCCCTGCAAGTTTGGCCACTGCAATCTCTGCTGATATTTCTATGCCTCTTGGTGGCGCTGGCTTTAATTTTAATGTAGCAAATTCATTGGCTAAACGTGGACTCCTCATGGGAGAAATCCAGCTTTTCAATTGCCTGCATTATCCTGGCATATTGGACCTATGTGTTGTGGGACTGCTGTGCTGCAGCTGGATATGGGGCAATGACAAATGCATGGAATTTATCAGAGACCTAAAATCTGAGTGGGGTGGGAAACAGACCATTCCAATGACAGCTGCAGTGGGAAAGTGGTTTATATCCCCTGCGTAGTGAAACAGCAGTGCCAGAGTCCTTGCTGGCATTCTGTATCCCATTCACCAACCTCTGCCTTCCAACGTTCATGTGCTCCTTCCTGCTGATTGAAATATCGTGGTTAGAAATGTGGTAAATGCAAATTGTTCTTCAAAATCAAATCATTTTCCTCATGTCCAATGGGAGTGATTTCACAGTATTTCTTTGGGGAGAGGGATACAAAATGCAATATATTAACATTTTTGTGTTGCATATTGGTGTGACAAGAAAATCGGACAGGAAAAGGTTTTTTTTTCCCATTTTGAAAACAATGTGTTAACCCTGGTCATGTAAAACACAGATCTTGAGGTTTGGGTGTGTATGGTGAAAACCAAACTTACAGTGGCCACCAAGTAAATTAGGAAGTTCTGCTTACAAGTGGTAGCAGAATTACTGCAAACTTCATCAGAAACTATATGTATGTGGTTAAGTGTCAGAAACCAATTTTTAATAGTTAGAAGTTGTTCTCAATTTTTGCTTTCATTACTGAACTTCAATTTCAAAATAATAACGCTGGATAACAGATTTTCATTAGAGTTTTGGATGTCCTACAGAGTTAAGAAACAGAAGTGTAAACTACAAAATTTTGAGCAGAACTAGGTATGTTCTTAATACAGAAAATATTTCATTCAGTGGCTATTTTAGAAGTGGTGTGTTAACGGCCTTTGGCAAATATGCATCATGCTTGGGCTATAACTACAGAGGAAAGACATTACCAGATAGAACCTGAAAAAGCAACAGTGGGGAGAGGTAGTACAGCTTCAGATTTTCTTTGAATAATTCTCATTTGTTTTTAGTGGTAGCAGGACTTGGGATTTGCATGGTACAGACTTGTTCCCTTGTTGTCCTGCTAAGACAATGGCCTTATATCACTCACAAGATCTCAGTGAGGGACATCACAAAGGTTATAGAGACAAAATGGAAATAACAGAATTTAACCCATAACACATTAATTCATTAATAGTTTCTCTGTGAAGAGCATCATTAAAACTTCAGGCTACCCTGGGCCAGGACTTCAAATCCACTCCCACCAAATGCTGAATCCAAAGGAAACATGTGGGTAGTGACTGGTCCTTCTGATGCCGGTGTTGGAAATGTCAGCTTTCACTGCTGAGCAATTTCCTAGGCCAATGTGATGCTTTGACAGGCACTTCTTCTAAGCTTTTTGTACAAGTTTTTTGTTAAAAAAAATCCCCAAGAATCCAAAAACAAACAAACAAAAAAGAGATCTGTAAATCCTATTGTTTTGCAACTGTGTTGTAATATTTGAATGAGATGCAGTCACAGTGGCACCTAAAAAAAAGTACTGATATCCATGTATCTCACTGCAAGCAGTTCAGTTAAATATAGATAATATAGGTCTTGCTCATTCTGTTTTTAAGTAGAACATGAAATATAGTCATGAACCTGCCAAGGACATTTGGATTCATGTTTTACTAGTTCCTCAAACTTAACCCAGCTGGGAAAAGATTTATAGTAAGTGTCAGCGTGATTCTCAAACAGGAAAAAAGTTGATAATAATGAAAAATTAAGATGCAAAGATAGCTCATCAACCTCAAAACTCCAAAGCCCAACACCCACGCCCCAAACCCAGAGATTTCCTCACCTTCTTTTTGCACAACTAAATTCTATTCAATATATAGATACAAGTGTGTGTGCATTTCCATGTGTAAATTGTGACTTGCTGAGTAAGCAAGAGTCTGTCCTTAAATTGTAGCAGATGGAAAAGTTTTATCCCATACTGAGAGTGGTTTACTTTCTCGTGGGTAGTGGGGAGGAACTGGATGTTGCTGGTCCTCAGGGATATGCTGATCCAGTCTAAGGATAAATGTATCATTACTGCTGTACACAGAAAAGCTTTGCAGGTCATAAACTAACCAGGCAGTTAGAAAACACCAGTTTCCTTCTACAGAGGTTTTGAAAGAGAAGTTGTGTCTTTAAAAAAAGGCCACAATTAACTGAAAGTCCAGTTCTTAAAGAGACATCAAGGGGCTTTCTGTCAGGCTTGAATGGTGCAGGGCAGCAAAGGGCAGCAATGCCTGTCTCAGCTGAACCCACACTGGTAAAGTTTGCCACTTGCTGCTCTCAGAGCACACGTATGTCCCATGGAGGCCAAAGCTTTTTAAGGAACAATTACAAGAATACTCTTCCTGTTAACACAAACAAAATTAAAATGGTGATTATGGTTTTCACTTGGGTTTTCAAAGATTTACTGCTGCTCCTGTGAAGAGGAACCTGCAAAAAGTAGCAGTTTGCGGTGGAGCCAAATGCCTACAACCCCCCTGAAGTTTTTAATCTCATACAAATGCTCACATATTGAGCAACTACACCATGAAAATAAATGGCAAACCTAATAACTTGCAAATGAATGGCTTAAAACTTGACAATGTTATGCTGGCAATCCTCAGAAGTCTTCCATTGCACAGTGTGGCAGAGAAGACAGGAGTACAGGATTTCAGGAGGGGCCCTTTGACTTGGAAGTGAAGGATTTTGGCAGCTTGCAGAGGACCCAGGGCTGTCGAGGCAGTCTGACTCGCAGTAACAAGTCTGCCCTGCCAGAGGGAGATGCATCTGGAAGGAGAGGGATGCATTCTGCTGCTGATGGGTAGGATTGCTGGGGAACCACTGGGTCAAAGCAGCAAAACCCCTCTCCTTTCCTGGAGAGCTGGCATCAAGCTCTGGGTTTCCACCTTTCATTCTGCAGACAGTACATGGATCATATTTAAACATGTCTTTTCCTTTTCCCACTCAGTAACTCACCATTGTCTGAAAAATCAAAGGGAAGTTAAATAAACCAAGTGTGATTGCATTGCTCAGTTTGGCAATCCACCATCTTCTGGCTGACTTCAGGCTGATAACTTCTTGTTTAGTCTCAGAGCCTTCCTCTTTCTTTCTGCACATCTTAGCATTTCTTTAAAAAACCTTGTAAAAATACCATTTCTTAAAATACCACTTTCTTGGGGGGAGTGACAAACAAAGTTGCCTTATATCACTTGATTGGGCAGACTGAATTTTGAAAAATAATTTAATTTCAAGTGACACTCATGCTACACTTAATCTTAGACAACAAGTCTGGAGTCTGGAAGCCTACTTATAACTGAAAATTACAACATTGAGCATAGAGAATATATTTCCACCAAATACAAAGAGTTTTAGGAAAACGTGTTTCAGTTGGGTTTTTTTACTGTAGACTGTGATGAATGTTCAGTAGCAAAAAATGGAATGTTTGTGTAATTATGAGACAATTGCTCAATGGACACACTCTCCTCCGCATTTTCTAGGAAACAAGGTGGTACTAAGGTCCACAAAGAAAGGCCCTCCTCCTTCCTCTGACAATCTGGAACAACTTTATTGTGTTAGTTCAAAAGTGAGAGTGTTTCTTCAGATTTGGCATATTACCAGTTCCATCAGAGCACAGAAATACGGTTCCACTGTCATGGACTTGTTTTGCAAGACTGGTCTTTGATTTTTCCTTGTAAGGTGATCTCACTTTCATTATTGGCAACAGTCCTTTTTCCACTCACCTAACTCTAGTCCACACTGCCAATAAATTCTCCTTTATTTTGCAGCAGATGGTGGCAGGGATGCCCAGGCTCAGTTGTCTGATGGACATTTTACATCCCTGGTGCATTGTTACTGCAGGAGTAACAAGGATATTTGGAGGCTGTTCAGTGCACATGGGAAATGTGTCCTCTGGGATGCATTAAGCCTGGGTACAACTGCAGTTTTCCCTTTGGAAATCAGCTGTGGTGGGAGAGGCCCCAAAGCTTGAGGAAGGGTGTGGTAAGCAGCATGGGCAAGTGGTTATTTTGTCCCCAGAGCCATTGTCTGTGATAGCGTAGTCATGGCTGGTGTTTACAGCACGTGGCAAGCAGGGCATGGGTGAGAGGCAGGAACTTACCCTGCTCAGCTTGATCGTGCTGTATTTGGACCAAGCACAGGGATATCCAAACCCATATTTCTAGTTCCCATTGTTCCAGAGGCTGCTGATGTCCTCTGGTCAGAGCCCTTGGAGATGTGCTCTGTGAAGGGCTCCACTGAGCTCTGCCATTTGGCTGAGGCCAAGCCCGTGGAAATCAGGAGATACACCCACTGGCACATCTCTAATCCTAAAGGATGAATTAGAGATCCTTGCTCTGATTATTGCATGCTATAAACACAGAGTGAACAGGTGACACTAAACACATGTTCAGAAATAACTCTTTTTTTTTTTAACAGCGGGACTTTATTGCATATGAAAGGACAATTAAAACATTTGTTGCAATCAATAACCACAAAATAACTTCCTTCTGTATATATAGCATCAAAAATACATCCCTTTACTATCAAAAATATTTCCCTCTCCTAAAAGTTAGTCACTATTCATTAAAGAGATTTCTCTTCCCTTATAAAAAATGAGTTTAGGTCTATGTACATCAGTATCACATGCACATACACTGGCACATGTGCCAGTGGTGGAACTGTTCAAAAAGTTCCCTACCCTTAAATTCTTCTCCTCTTTCTTCGCTAGGCATAGAGCACTCCTTTTGTGTCTACTTTCCCTCTTCCTTGCTCTTGATTCCATTCTATGTCCAACACTGACATATTATATGTCTTTTGTTTTTAAAATCTCTGCTGTTTTAGAATATTTAATCCTTAACTAGAGGTATGTCAGTAATTCAGTGCAGCCTTTAAGGTTCTTCATATGGGTAAATGCAACCCCTCAGTGGCTGCTATCCCTGCAGGAGACCCCTATTGATACATTTCTCCTTCTGGGACCCTTTTAGACGAAGACAGAGGCGTCCTGGTCGCTGGTGTTCTGGGTTATGTTGCTGTTCACCACACTTTCTGCATAACTAACTGAATGAGAGACCTGGTAGTGACTGCAGGGCCCACAGAAACACAGGAATGGACAGTACTTCATGCAGACATGATAAAAGTATTTCCTGAATTTTTCCCCAGCAAAGGCATAGATGAGAGGATTGAGACAACAGTGACTGAATGCAATGGTTTCAGTCAGGTGCATTGCATAGTCCAATGACTTAATTTGGTTGCAATTTGTGAATAAATCATAGTGATTTAAAGTATCCAGAAAAATCAGTACATTGTAGGGGGACCAAAAGAGAAAAAAAACCACCACCACAATCAATATCAGTTTTATGGCTCGTGCTTTTTTCTGATTTTTGCAGGATAGGAGGGTTTTGATGATCCCACAGTAGCAATAGAATATGATACAGACTGGGATGAAAAAGCCGATGGTGTTCAGCTCCATATTGCAGAGCACTGGCCAGATGTTCTCCAGCTTCTCTGGGAAGACAGCAGTGCAGTCATTTTCTATGAGCTGGGAGAACACAAAGTGTGGCACTGACACTAAAACCGCTATTGCCCACACTCCACAGGTTACAAGAAAGCCGTGTCTTACTGTTCTGGACTTCAGAGAATAAGTTGCCCGGACAATGGCCAAGTACCTGTCAACACTGATAACAGTGATAAAGAACATTCCCCCAAAGAAACCAATGTAATACAGTGAGGAAACAGTTGTACATGCAATAGTCCCAAGGGTCCATCCACGGACCGTGTTGGACGCCCAGAACGGGAGGGAGATCACAAAGAGAAGGTCAGAGATAGCCAAGTTCAGGAGATAGATGTCAGTGATGCTTTTTTTATTGCCTTTCACAATGGCAAAAACCACCATTAGATTCCCTGTGAGGCCAAGGGCAAACACCACGATATAAAATAGTGGCAGAAATATGTTCCCAAACTCTTGGATGTCGGTTTTGTTGCAGGAGAAAGCATGTTCATCGTAAGTATATTCAGCTGTGGTTTCTGTGTATGCTTCTGTCATGCTGAATTTGCTGGCTAGAGGCAAAATGGAAAGAGTAAAGAAAATAACATTAGAGTGATCTTATATGTGCTGTGGTAAAATACTGAGGGACTGCATCAAGCATGCTTTGGGATTTTGTCACTATTTATTTTAGTGAGGGTTGTATTACTGTGGAGCAGATGATAATTATGTTATGACAAAAACCCAGACTCTGCTATTACATGTACTTCACTGAAAGTTAACTCTTTAGGATAAGAAAAAATAATTAATGAGAATTTCAAGCCCCTAATTACTGAAGTGCAGCAGGAGCAGCAGCAAGTTGAGATGTGGCTGAGATCTGTGCACGTGGTGCATGGCAGCACCACGAGCAAAGTAGGTGCTCTGCTAGTGTGTGGGCAGTTCTTAGCAGGAAACAACAGTTCACAAGTAGATGTTGAGCAGATTTGGTGCCTGTCAACACCCCAAGAGCCCCATCTCCCCCTCTCACCAACCCTGGGCTGGAAAGGTTCAAAGCACCCACTTTGGCCAGGCCTGAGATGATGCTTGCTGATAAGGGAGGAGCAAGTCTGCACTGAGACATTGCTAGCAGCAAGCCCATCTTTTATGAGGCTTTTCTAAAAAGCATCCTATGATCAAAAAAAGAGAAAATATATTGACCCTTTTCTTTAAGTAACAAAGCACCTCATGACTGCTCCTGCTCTGGCTGTGGGGCTGGAGCCAGGAATTCACCGTGGCTGAATCCTAAGAGACTATGAGGTGCAGGTGTGTGACTTCTGGGCTCATTGGCCTGCATACCCAAAAACCCAGAGCAGCTGTCATTTCATCTCCTCTCCTTTGGGATGTGGTGCTCAAGTCTCTGCAAAGATTTCTGTTTGCAAGGAATTAAAAATCCTATAGGAGTGCAGATGTTGCTGTATTTGGTCGGCTCCCTGGTTAGGAAAGAGCTTGGAAGTATCCATTACTTTGTCTCACTATAGGAGATGAAAGAAAGTGAGTGTGATATGTTGTGCACAAGCCCAGGGAGGTGATAACAGGCTAAACCACCCTGTTAAAGCTGAGACCAAAAGAAAGGGTCAGTGATAACCAAACTGCAACTAACAACTACCCCTTGGCCACATCTTCTTACAGGAATCCCCTGCTGCCTGTACAGAAGGCACTCAGGTCAGTGACCACAGGCTGTCTATGTTTACATCTCCTGTTAGTGGGAGATATAATCAGTACAGCCAACAAAGAGCAGTGCATCCTCATCCAATACAGGTCAGGCCAAATCTGCTTTAAGACAAGACAGACTGCTTTCCAGACTGCTGGCCACACTGGTGAAACTTTTTTTCCCAAGTATAAGGCAAGCATGGACACACTGCTCAGTAGTAGGTGCCGATGGTGCGTAGCTACTCTGACTCACTTATAGCTAAGTGATTGGAATCCACATTTCACCAACAGAAATAGTTTTTATACCTTCTGTTTCAAATAAGCCATGCAAGATTAAACACGAAATAAAGACGTCCTCAGGTGTGAGGCAGTTTTCTATGCCATGGTGGTAAGTACAACAATCTTCCCCATGAGCAGCTACTGTGACTATACTGACATTTTCCCCTAATGCCACATTGCCAGAGCATCATTTGTGGTGTTGGCTGTGAAGTTGTGGCCTCCTATTTTGTAGCAATATCTTAAACAGTGTATTTTTATGCTAGTTGGAAATGCAGGCTCTCAATTTTAAAATATTCTTTAATCTGAACGTTCAAACACTAATGATTAGCACCTGCACACTCTAGAAAACATCTTTGTGGTTTGCACAGGAAAAGTGGGCTAAAAAAGTCTGTCTCAGCACTGGTAGCTCTGGGGCATGGGCACAGTATGGGGAAAGCTGTTTGCAGCAGGCAGGCACACCCACGGGCAGAGCGGCTCTTGCAGTATCTATCCACTTGGACTGGGAGCTGAGTCCGCCTTCAGAGTCTGTCCAGCCCCTGCCTGTCAGCCCAGTTCAATTCTGCATCCTCTGACGCCAGCAGAGTTAAAGGGATGCAAAGATGGAAAAGCTTAAGTGCTGGGGCGGAAGCTGATAGCAATTGCAAACAAGATACTTATTTTCTACTGGTGAGATAAATAAAGAGTTGTCATCTCTCTACCTGCCCTGTTGAATAATACAGATATGAGCAGGAGACATCATGTATGTAATCTCAATAACACATCATGTTCTGCCATCCTATCCTGATTTCTTCCTTGCTTTCTGAGACTAAATGTAGGCAGCAAAAGCAGCAGGGTACACCAAGTGTCCTGTGCCGAGTATGTGTCACTCTGTCAGCCTCCCCAGCTCCTTGCCGCTGAGCTGTCACTGCACCCATCTGTGCACCCAGAGCCTACGCCTTTCTCTGCAGGCTCATGTGCTCCACAGCTGGTTCTCCACTCATGGAGCAGTAGCTGAGGGCTGCAGAAGTGACTGACTGGGGCAGGAGCACACAGCCTATGAGAAGACACTGGGTTTGGTAAGCATCAACAGGACATGTCTCAAGAGGAGTTTAGGGATAAGGTGTAAAGGTGAAACAGACAACTTTCCTCAGGGGAATAAATAGCAATACCCATGGAAATCATTACTTAATGCATTGAAAAGAAATTTTTGCCATGATGGTGGTCAAAGAGCAGGACAGGGCTCCAGATAGGTCATGGGATCTAATCTCTGGAAGTACTTGAGACTCAGCTGGCCCTGCTCTGTGCATGGGTTTGGACAAGAGACCTCCAGAAGTCCTGTCCTATCCTTGTGACTCTGGCAATGCCAGACAGAGATCACGCTGTTTCTGCAAACTGCACCAGCTTCTTCTCTGCCAAGTCAGCTCCTGTTTCAGACATGTCATTCCTGGTGTGACAACCAGAAGTCTCATCAGATGAAGAGGAAAAATCTGATCGAAGCTTGCTTATATCCCCTTAACGCTTTTGCTAATTATGCTGTCATCCAGAGAGGGCTGTTTGGTGGTGCTTGCCTTGACTGTCTGTGCTGAGACAGCACAGTGAAATCCCTGCTCTGGAGAGAGGGAATGCACATTGCTTTACTCTCCTCTCAAAGAACCTTGAGCTATGCTGGTTTTTAACATACTTGCTCCCTTAATTCACATTGAGAAAGACAGCTTGTCTGTCTGGAGAATTTCCATATGTGTCCATAGCAGTCACTGTGCTCTGATGGACACACATAAGGAAATGCAGCTCCCACCAGGGGTTAGCCCTCAGGTCTGGCAGAATTTTGCAAAGACTTCTGAATGGGCTTTGCCTGGAGAGAAACTTGGGCTTGGGAATGGCCACCTCCTTCACTGGAGAACATATACACAGACATGCATGAGGAACTCCTGTCCTTAGTGAAGTAAACAGAAACATTGCTTGTGCTGGGATATTTCCTGAAATACCTTTTCAGTCAAGTAATCTCTAGCTTACTGATGAGAATCATTTATTTCTACAGTAGCAAATTATTTCCTTTACCCTTGGATGGGTGCTTGTAGGGCCTGTGGTACCTACAACAATAGGAAGGGTAAGATTGTGTATTGTATGTCCAGGGGCAAGCAAGGACTGCACTTACCAAAATGACAAAAATTGGTGTTTGAATCTGCTGGCAGTCTGTGGTTTATTCACTCTATATCTCCTGGATTTCATTTGTCAGCAGTCCCTCATATCCTCCACCACCACTCATGCTGCACAGGCAATGCCACCAGCACTATTTGAATATTTAGCTCTTCTGATACCACTTTGCTCAGTTTCAGCTGATGATTCTCAGTAGATGGACTGCACATTTCAAAGGACTCCCAAAACCCATCCCATGCCAGATAGAGATAATGTGTTGAAATTATATTGCCCCTTAAAGAGTGAAACTTAGATCTGACCATCCTCCATCCTTTCCTGTCACATATTCTCTGTCAGCCTCTCAAAGTTCACTGCAGCACATGCTACAGGTTTCTCACCATCAGCTTCAACACGATTTTCCCTTTTATGCTTACAATAAATGTTCACCTAAAGGATAGAATGAACTGAAGAGTGCAGAGGACACAAGAGGACTGCTAGGCTTTGAGGTTTCTCCATCAGATATTTTCCCTTGCTGACTACAGGAAATAGTAGATTCACTTCTGCTTCTCATGGAACTGCTCAACCACTTTTCTCTCCGGATTTCCCCATCGATTTTACACCCTGATCTTCACAAACACTTCTGCTCCTAATCATGTTTACAGCTACCTCAAACACCATAGTCTGCAAGACCAGGACCCCTGTTTCTCAACCCAACCACCATGTGCACCCCATGAAATACAGAGGGAAGTGAAATTGTGAGAGGTCTGCGAACTCTTCAACGGAACAGAAGTTGCATTTCAATCTTCAAACTACACTGGCATCAGGCTAGGTGACATATGAGCAAATCCTGTTTATATATCTAGATATCAGATATACCAGATTCTTTCCATGTGTCATGCCTGGCACTTCAGCCGAGTGCCATGTTAGAGGCTGTACTGCCAAAAAGAGAGAGATCTACAAGCAGTTTGCCTCCCTGCGATGCCGCTCCTACCACCAAATTAAAAGAAGTGAAAACAATGACCAAATCCAGACCTCTGTTAGAGGGTCACGCTTCAGATTTGCACAATATGCTAATAAAAGTATTTCAGCCTCAGAAAGATTTTCACACCTTAGTCAGCATTTCTAAGTGATGCTTACACACTTTTCTCATGCTAGAAAAACATGTTTTCAATGCACACTGAATAGCCTGATGAATCAGCAGGCCCTGAGAAGCTGTAGGCTTTGTGAGAACGCCCATGAAACCCTACAGGTGTGTGTATATCTCTTTTTCACCCTTAGATCTGAGCTGCCACCACCCTACCCAAAGATAAATGCTTTTGCTTTTTTTGAATTTGCAATTACACCCACCTGCTTCTTACCAGCTGGTGATTCTCAGCAGGAGCACAGGGATGACCTCAGGCACCTCCAAATTTAATGTTGAAGCTATGGTGGCACTTCTAACACACAAAAGAAAGAGATTAAAGTAAATAACCAGAACTGGGTGAGAACTAGGAGGAGATAGCACTCTGGGTAAAACTTAACCAGCCTGGCCAAGCAGCTGCCAGAGACACCTCTACCTGTGGTTTAGATGACACACCACCCAAAACTTAGGCTTAGGGTTAATACATTAACCAGAGATGGGGACTGGTTGCTAGTCCTATTCCCTGCTAGTTCCTGTAATTCACTTACTTTATTTTTCAGAGCAGGATGGTTCCATGCATAGGCAATGGCCTCTGGAGCTGGTTGGGATCATGTTAGACAGCCAGGGTCAAAGGCAAGCCCATCCCACCAAATGCAGTTACTTTAAATCTTAAATTTCAGTCTTTCATTCAGTCCTGAAGTGGGGAGATGTTCTCCCTCTTCCACCTCTACATGCAGACCTTTGAAAGTGGGAAGCAAGGTGAAAGGGCTGAGCTAACCTAACCTTTAACTCAGGCAAAATGAATTTAAACTGTTAAGGGGCAGAGTGCAGCTAAGGCAAATCTGTGTGGCTTTATAGAAGAGGATTTTTAGTTTGGGCATCTGATGGGATTGCAAGGTTGAAAAAGGGACTTGTGTGGGTGAGTTGGAGCTCTGATTTGCACTACATGCTTATTTGGTTATCACGTCTCCAGCCCAAAGAAAGACCAACAAAGCATTGCAATGGGATTTGGAACAGTCAGATATCAGATCTCAAAAGGCAGACATTATGGAGGAAGACTTGCTGAACTCATAGTATTTCTTGTAAAAGGTCTGTGGAAATGACAAGTTGAAAGCCACAAACTGGTGTTTTCATCATTGTTCTGAAAGCACACTGGCAATGAGAGCTGGCAAGGGCACATGATAGAAGGGCTACAGGAGAGTGATTCAGACAATCTGATTAATCTGGGGATTCCTAGATGATTCACATTGGCCCTAATGGAGACAAATGTAACCCAAGTAACATGCTTGGCAGTTAAACAACATGGGCCATGTCTCAGCTGTGGGGGCATATCTGAAAGGAAACTTGACTGCAAGAAAAGCTGATGCAACCCTCAGGTGTTAAAAGAGCTTCCAGATGGGAAGGAACAAAAGAGGGATGACTTTATCATTATCATGTGTTAATAATCTTGCTCATTATTTGAGTGGGATTAGCTGTCCATAACAGTGATGCAGGGAAATTCAAACCAGAAACGTGCAAGACAGGAATAAGATTAATATTTTTAACAGTGAAAGGCTAATAACTGGAACAGACTAGATTACAGGAAGGAAAAGAACATTTTTGCATGTCTCAGAGTCTTCACTTCAAGAGAAGGTATCGGTCTGGGAAATGGATTTAGGCCAGACATAGTGGAGAAGCTCAGCAGGAGAGTGCTGGATTAAACCCTACAGCCCTTTATAAGCAGGGAGGCAGACCAGGATGGGGCACAATTCTCTGAACAACCATGACTCTCTTCTGGTAATAAATGACTGAAAAAGCTAAACTCTTTGAGCTCTGTCCCACACCAGCTAGCTCAAATCTTAAATGGGATGTGAGCTCTGGAAGGAAGCAGGATCCTGTGAAAACCATGGAGCAGCTGTGGTGTTGGGTTAGCAGTGATGCTGTCATAATGGCTGTGGAAAGAAAGCAGCACAGTTTGGAGATATTGCTATTAAATAGCCACCCTGTTGAAACCTGTGTATTTTCCTAACTAACCAGTTCTTTTTTTTTATTCCTCCCAAGCTTCTGAGTGAGTGTGGAGCAATGCTACATGCTCGCTGTCCCTCCAGTTCTTCCTTGATGAGTTTAAGGTGAGGGAATTCCTTTCTTTGGTGTTTCTTCTTTCTTCTGTCATTTACTCTCAGATCAACTAAACGATTACTGTGTCCCATCAGAATTCTGCAAACCTAATAATTGCTTTTCAATTTGGGTGATTTAATTTATGGAGACTTTCCCCAGTAATTTGAGGATAAGTTTTTTAAAAGCAAGTAGTTCTCTGGGATGCTTTGTTATTGAATTTTCCAATTTAAGGTGAAGTTGAAGGGGCAGAAACATGATGCTGAGGCTTTCAAAGAATTAGGCCACCTTAAGTGTCATAACTAAATGACTCAGAAATAGGAGGTGATAAAACTACTGCTGATAAGAATGACTGAATATTGCAGAGGTCTTGCATCCCCTTACAAATGGTATTTATGTCAAAAGCTATTTTAAAAATGCCAGTTTCCTGATCCCGTTCTGCAGTTTTTACACCAATATCACAAACTAAATTAGAAGTAGACACCACTACCTGAAAATGAGAAGCATATAAATCTACAAACTTAAACCAATGGTTTTTGGTGGAAAAATACATTTGGAAAGATCAGATTTTGATCATGGAAGGCAGGAGGAGATAATGCACAGTCCGAAATCCCTAGGGTCCCTCTCACCTTTGCCTAGGGCATAGTTTTGGAAAGTGCTTTCTCAATGATGGTCCTTGCATGCCTGGAGGTAACAGCAAGTAATCAGAGCACAAGATTTATATTAGCCCATCACATCAAAATTAGGTGTACTCATGATTTATAAAGAAAAACTAAAAACATGGACTTTCTCCAGGATGTCTCTGCCAATGTCAAGGGCTACATCATCTGTCCTTCAGAGCAACAACAGGGTATTATTTTGAACAAGATCTTGCCCTTGCTCCTTCAGTGCACTCAGGGTGTTTGTGCTGCCTACCACATCAAAGCAGGCACAGGGGACTGAACCCAGACATCCTGGGCACATCCTGCCCCCAGCAACATCCCCCCACTTGCTGGATTTTGCTCCACCAGGCAGACTTGCTGTGAGCCAGTTGGAAGGGACAGCTTCACCAGAGCAGCGTGTGGTTTGCAGGGGCCAAGTTAAGTTCTGCCAAACTCCTGGCAGCTCACCTCTGTGGTCGCTGGTGTATTTATAGAAAGAGTTGAAGCTTTCAGTGGTTTCAACTCAGCACTGGGGAGACAAAGACCCTCTGAGGCTGACAGGCTGACAGGGTGGATATTCAGGAGTTTTGGTGCCTGCACACTTAATGGAGCAGGAATAGGTTCCTGTTTCAGGGTGTGACCAAGTCTTTTGAGCATGTGAAGCTATTTCAGAAATGACTCCATGCATTTAGGAAAGACTTGACAGAATGATTCAGACTCCCTCATCTCCCCTGCATGTTAAAATTGAGGTTCAAAAATCACTGAAATGGTTCTGAAATTTGCATCCATGTCTCTCAGGGTGGTCTTGATCCTATGACCAGAAGCAAGGGACCTCTGCAGAGCTTCTGCAGACTGAGAAGGTTTCCCAGCAGTGTCCTGCTCCCAGGCATCAGCCAGGGGATAGGAAATTAGGTAAATGGTGAGTATTGTTGTAGGGCAACATTTATTTTGGTCCTCACAGAGGCTGGGGAGCACTTTAACTCAGCTACTGGGGAAGCAGTGGCAGAGCTGAGAGTGCAGGTGCCCTCCCAAGAGCTGTGCCCGGGGAATTTGATGTTTGGGGCTGTCATCTGACTGCCAGGATCAGGATTTTCCTGGAAAATTTATTTCACAGTTATTTCATCTAGCCTGTAAGTTCTCCTAATTGCCTTTCTGCTTGCACAGTTGCTCAGGCACTCTATTTTTTCAAATGTATAGCTGACCATTTTGCCAGTGTTTTCTCTTACCTGCTCTTCCTCAGTATTTCTTTTTCCCAGTCTTTCTCTTCTGAAGCAGCATTGAAATTTCTTTTGTATTTTCTGTTGAAGGGACAGCAAAAACAGGTGATTATTTGTAGCTATGAGCACTGTTTGTACTTGTTTATGGTTACTGTTGGCTCCGTCCTCTCACTGCCTTATTGTGGCATCTTTTTGCTTCCTGCCCCCACCCCCCTTTTTGTGATTAATAATTTCAAATTGCCCCAGCATCCCTGAGAAATTAGAGAAGGGTCTCCAGCAGTGGGAGATCTTTTAAATCATCTTCTCCATCATGTCAGAGAGCAGAGCACATTAAACCTTCTTGATTATGTATGGATGAGATTTACTTTCTGGAGTTGCCAGCTTCTTCCTGGGAATATCAAGTTTAGAAGTTTTTTATGGGATTTAGTCTCAATTTATTATGTGTTGTCTTTTGTCAAATTTTACCTTTTTCTTCTCCCTTTTGGACTTCTGCACTGCCCAAAAGTTTTTGATTCATCGCAGTTGCCATCTTTTATTCTCTCATCCAGTTCCCTGCCTCTGTCTGCACTGCCTGCACATAGGGCTTGCCCCAACAGACCAGATTTTGGAAACCACTGCTGTGGATCTGTGTTTATATCACACAAGTACTCAGTGGGTTGCCACCACTGTGGCATTACCCAAATGTCTCACCCAACCGGCAGACATCTTCATGTAACATCTTTCCTGTGGAAAGCTGAGTCACAGCAAGATCAAGTATATTATACAGAAAGGTAAGGGTTTTCAAATGTCTTTAATTTCCATTGCTCTCTTGCTGGTCTGTCTGTATCAGACACTTTCTATTGACTCTACCAGATTTTCTGCTTTGGGCTATCTTTCAGTGCCAATGAAGTTTTGGATGTTGGTTCACTGACTAAAACTAGAAGCAAGCAATGCTGGTGAGTTGTGAAATCTCTGCAGACATCAAAGAAAAAACTTCTAGTGAAGTAGAAGAGCTGGATCTCCTTGGTCTGTCCTTCTAGGTTAATGTTACACACTAGTCATATATCAGCACTTACTAACCTTGAGGATTTCTATCCAGGGTGAATATTCCTCTTACTTCAAGATGCTACAAATAATTAGGGACCCACTAAAATTTATTTGCCCTGGTTCACTTCACTAATAGAAGTGCTTCCCTTTTTACTTTCACAGTTTGTAAGCAGTACCCACATCATCTTTACCCAAATTAAATATCGTTTAGGTTCCAAGCACTAAGCAGTGAAGAATTTCCTTAAGTTCATGAGACACCATTTTGTCTCATTTTGCTCTGCCAATTTATAGGGAAAATATAATTGTCTCTTACCTTAAATCACAGCTGCATTGAAACACAATGATTTCTTCAAGCTGATCCTGTTTGGATTGAAATGTATGTTTCCTCTTCTCTAATGCCCATGCCTACATTAACGTGTTTGCTTCCTGGGCTGAGCTTTGGGGCTGAGCTGAGAAAGCACTGATGTGCTCTGCCTGGGTCCTGCTGGCTTCTTGTGAAATTGTCAAGTAGGATGCAGCCACTCAAAGGGACAGAAGCACTTACAGGGGACAGGATTTGCACAGAGGCAGAAATGCCTGAGGTGCCAGCATGTGACAGCATGTGAAAGCTATCGTCAAAGGGACAGAAGCACTTACAGGGGACAGGATTTGCACAGAGGCAGGAATGCCTGAGGTGCCACGACAGCATGTGAAAGCTATCACTCCCTTAGTTTCCCTATTCTGTGCAGAATGAGACATTTTTCACTCAGACACGGTGTGTAGAAATACAAGTTTGGTACTTGAGCTGTGGGGATTCAGGATGCAGCACAGAGGAATACAGATATGGGAGGGTAGAAGATGGGGCACAGGCTGGCACTGGGGAGCCCCACAGCTCTACACAACTCACTGATGGTCAGATAAAAAATGTGGATCTGGGGATGGCAAAACCAGGTTTAGTGGTAACAGAGAGAACAAAATTAGCATCTAACATACATAAGGGGCATTGCCTATTGTTGGTTGTGTATAGACCAGTGAAGAGAGAGGGTATAGAAGCATGTTGGAAACCATAGAAAAATGATCCAAAACAGATCCTGGAAAAAGACAGAAGGAAAATCAGGGTGAACATTGCACTCATCCCAGGGAAGGACAGACAGCTCTCTCTGACACCTCACTTCGCTACAATCACCAGCCTTAGGACCCAAAGTGACAGGGATAAGAGTGAGATAACACCAAAAAAAATTGATAGAAACTGTGTGTGCAAAAAATTGAAGCTGCAATAATGTTCCTGTTCTTCTGCAACCAGCAAATTTAAACTGATAACAAATGGAGCCTTGAGAATGCCATTGCACTCACAATAAATTCTTGGTTCTACCTATGACACATTGTGCCCCTTCTTAGCCTGTAAACAAGATTATAAGCATAATGTGTCTCTGCAGCCCAGTGGAGTCATAGGGTTTAAAATACTGGGATGTTCATAAATCAAGGACCCCTCTTGGTCCCTGACCTGAGCATCCTGCTCAGGGTTGCACTATGAGTGCAGCACAACTGGGATGCTGCAAAGCACATTGCCAGGCACCACTGGGGCACAAAAAGCAGTTCCTCTGGGGTGGAACAGGGCAGGAGGCTGTGCAGTGGGGTGTGTTATGAGAAAGAGACATTGCATCCAGCTGGCTGCTCTACCAATACCAAGGCCCTCCAGGACACAAGGAGTGCAGTCCTGGAAGCACCCCCAGGTACTGCCCCTGCCTCAAAACTCAAGAGAGACTAAAATGCCATCTGCCCAAAGACAGAGTTGTGCTGTCTTCAGGCAGGCTGACCTTGGTGGGATTTTAGGGGTGGAGAGTATCTTCCAGGTTGCCTGAGCTGTTGCTGGTGGATTGATTAGCAAGTTGCCAGGTAAACATCTTCATGTAAGTTCAGTTCTGGTATTTCTGCCACATTTGTGGTTTTTTACTGTGTTATGCTTTATCTAGCAAATATTACACCCTCAACTACAACTAACACCCTCAAGCTACAAAGCAATGTAATTAAGGTCAAATGTAATTAAGGTCAAACCACAGGCCTCCAACATCAACCAAAGTGATATCAGCCAGATGGGCCAGGACAAAAACCTGTGGAAATAATCAGGGAACTGACTCCTGGATAGGTATTAGCTAAGGACAGCAAAGATACACTTCTGGAAATAAAGTTTAAAGGGTAGGGTATTATAAAGTGCCAGAGCAGTGGATTTTCAAAACTCACCTTTTTCTCTGACAAGTGTCAGCAGACCTCTTCAAAAACAGATGTAAAGCACTCTGCACTGTTTTCAGGACAACATCAAAAGGCTGGTTTCTCCCCACACCCTGAAAGTAGGATCTATGACTTCTCAAATTATGAACTTTTAACTTTCAGAAAGATAATTTCTGGTAGATGGTACTAAGGAAATGTTCTCATTGTGCGATGACCATGAGATTCAGAAAGTTGAATTAAGGTTTCCTCAATGCCAGTGATAGCCTGATACTATCAGAGCAGCACTGCCCTGTCTGTAGAGGTGCTGTTGTCTAGAGGACACCCAAATCTAAATTTGTCTCTCATGTCCTCATGGGGACGATTAAGAGCTGTGTCCCTCCATCCCCCACCTCCCTCAGCCTTGTAAAGAAGGCACAGATAGATCAGTAGGAGCTTTCCCACTGGGTACTGCACATGCCAAGCTGGTTTGCTGCTGCCTTATAAAATGTGGGCAGAACCCATACAGACCCGGCCACCCTCACCTTGGTGGGCACCCACTCCTGGGTCACCAGCACTCAGCACAGTACCTCTGGTGTAGCTCTTTGCAGGCAAAACCCTCGAGAAGGGGGGGTCAGGACTTCCCATAAGTAACAGCAGGAGAGGCTGTCCCCAGGCATTGCTTACCTCCCCTAGCAACAGGGCTTTTCTGAAGGTGGTCATCACTCTTCCTCCTGTGCTGCCCAGAATTTAACTGGAACCAACGGAGCAGACTATAACCCTCAGAAAGAAATTAAGTTTGCCAAGTTTTACCCACACAAGTTTTATCTGGCAACTTCAATTAAAAAGAAACCAAGTCAAGCTGACTCATAGAGATCCTCAGCAGGTGTCCCTGGGAGACACAAAGGCTTTCTACTGTATTCTGCTATGACTGATAAACCTAGATAAGAGGGCTACTCATTATTATGGTGTGCACTTGTAGTGCAACATAGACAGATGTGAAACCAATACCACCTGAAAGACAACTGCCACATCAACCATATATCTGCTCTCCATCTTCAGCCTCTGTTCACACTCATATTGAGGACAGCTCAGGAATAAAAAATTCTGAGGACGCTGCTGAAAAGACTTTCATTCATACATACAAAATGGATGAAAACATCTTTTGTTTCTCCAAGCTAAAACAAAAAAGACATTGCATCCCTTGTAACCAGAGAGACTTTTCCTTGGAAGGGCTTGGTACAGTGTGCTGCTTTCCCAACTGGGAGGCACACGATTTTACAGGAAGAAATCAAGAGTAGAGGATGTATGTGCAAGGACACTGTGGGTAAAGAGGGGCAAACACCCTGTTCTTTTAAAACCATCTTCCTCTGAGTGGCCTTCCAAATTTGAAAATTAATTTCTCTCAATATCTGGGAAGACCAGAGGTTCTTCAACACCACTGGCATCTCCCACTGCTCTGTAGAAAGGCTGCCAGGACAGCTTGGGGAGGCAGGGTTCTGCAACTGGCAAGTTTAAGCTTTTTGGACTAAAGCACTCGGTATAGAAATGTCTAGTCTGAAGGATCAAAATGCTGCTCTCCCCAGCACGTTCTGCTTTTGCTGCCATGGAGGAAAGCCTGATTTGGTGGTGATTTTCTATGAAAAGAGGCTCTCCTGGATCTCAAGAGTTTCACTGGAGTCCCCTCTGCAGGGCCAATGGGGAACAGTAGTGGCCCGGGGTACCTGCACCATCCTCCCAGGATGGAGCCCCTGAATCCCACAGGAGCTCTGGGATGCAGAGCTGCCCTGCTCGGCACAGCAGCGTGACACACACCATAGCCATGACTGCACTGACCCCTGCTGGACATTTTTCTCTTACTCTCTCCAAAATTCTCATCTTTTCTGCCAGCTGGGTAGAGGCGCTTCTGAAGGTGCACCCCTGCCACATCGGCCTCCTTTCCCTCCCATGTTGTTCTGCAGCAGAGCCCACCCGGCAGCTTTTGGTGCAGATGGGAGCACCAGCTGCTCACACACAGACACACCCAAAAATCACAGAAATAATTTCTGTGCCTCACTTTTGAGAGAAAACCCAGCAGAGAGCCTCATCCCTTCATGTCACTGTTCTGCAGAGATACAAGAAGACAACTGAGCTCTGGTGTCTTTCCAGCCACCAGTGGGAGATGCATTTATTCTACATTAAAAACGTGGGGATGCAGAAATTACCCAGAGTGAGGAAGAGAGAAGTTATGTCTAGGGATTAAAATGTTTCATCCTGAGGGCTGCTGAAGGGAAGAGTGACAGAAAGATGAATGCTTGCACAGTTTCTACAAGCAGAAGGAGTGTGGCTCAAACAGATATCAAAAATTAAGAAAAACATTTGTTCCCACATTAGAAATGTCACAGAAGGGATAGAGGCCTTGAAACAGTTTAGTGCTTAGGCTCACTCATTCCTTGGTGACCCCATTGTGCTCCTGAGCTCCAGCTGTCACACAGATATGGTGCTGTCCTGCCCTGGAGAGGTGGCAGAGGCTCAGCCAGGTCTCCTGCAGGTGTCCTCCTCCCCTGGGATAGGAGATGTGCCTGTGAGTTGCTCGGACCCGCCTGTTTCAGGGTGTACCTGAGTTACACCGATCACTCAGTGCATCATGAGGCTGCCCTGCTCTGGAGGTCAGCTCCAACAATAACAAGACCCAAGAAAGATGGGAAGAAGCCTTTGGCTGGGCAATCACATCCCTTCCCTCCAAGGCTCATCCAGGCAGGAGGAATGGCTGCAGAGACACACTCCAGCAAGTTGCTGTTCAAGATGCTGAATAAAGAAATGCCTTTCCTCCCTCCTCCCCCTCCCCTCTCTCTCCCTTGTGCTGCTTATGAGAGCTGAAGCTGTTGGGTGCATTTGCACCAGCACCACCCCTCTCTCTGCAGGGCTGCAGCTGAGCACACTTCAGGGAAGGGTGGTGCTGGGGACACAGAGGTGTGCAGAGATGGTGGTGCAAGATGTGCATGCATGAGGCTGCCCTGCTCTGGAGGTCAGCTCCAACAATAACAAGACCCAAGAAAGATGGGAAGAAGCCTTTGGCTGGGCAATCACATCCCTTCCCTCCAAGGCTCATCCAGGCAGGAGGAATGGCTGCAGAGACACACTCCAGCAAGTTGCTGTTCAAGATGCTGAATAAAGAAATGCCTTTCCTCCCTCCTCCCCCTCCCCTCTCTTTCCCTTGTGCTGCTTATGAGAGCTGAAGCTGTTGGGTACATTTGCACCAGCACCACCCCTCTCTCTGCAGGGCTGCAACTGAGCACACTTCAGGGAAGGGTGGTTCTGGGGACACAGAGGTGTGCAGGGATGGTGGTGCAAGATATGCATGGTACAGAGACAGATGCAGACATAGGGAGAGTGGAAATGTTGC